TAAATGCACGGGCAACGCCGGGCGGGTACACCTAGTTGTTTATAATGAGAAGTCAGAACTGGTGGTGTCTTAGAAAAGATGCACACATGGAAGGATCATTTCACTATAATAGCAGTTCAATGAAATAGAATTTTGATTTAGGATGTGGAGGATCTCAGTACGATCATTGACCAACATGCCAAATCCAGACTGAAACACCTGCATCTCCATAGCAAAATCTTTCGATAATATTTAAATGATAAAGCCTTGGTCTTACCTCTCTCTGTATCAGCTGCCATCCAGATTGGCTTACAAAAAGTTAATTGACTCTCATCAGTGGAGTACTGTATTGCACTGTTGTATTGGACCATACAAGTCTTGGTGGTCCTTATACCATTGCAAATGGTGTAAAATTATTTAAATTTTTTAGACTTTGATAATTTCATATGTAGCACAATAACAAATAACTTAAACCTCTAAAAACTATACACTAATATTACAACGATACACTAATTTGATTTTTATTTCCTACTATGCTTAGAAAATCTGTTTTTATACAATTTTACACTGTTACATAATGTACCATACTACAGTCTTTAGAAAAATTTTATTGAAAATTTGTATATGTATCATCTTTTTGCCACTTAGCTTTAGTTTTGCAAATCACTGTAAGCTTTAGTGTTTCATTTCTTATGTGTTGTAACATGGGATGCTTTCAGTCCTTAAGTTCTGCACACCAGTGTCTATTAGCTAAATACATATTTAAAGAACATGTATGAAATAATTTACAAACATTTAAATAAAGTCTTACATTCATTTATCTAAGTAATATACACAAAATATTTTGTCATACAGCACAAAAACAAACTTACGCAATTTGCTCCCATTTCCATTTTGTAATTTTAATGTCATCTTTACTTCCACTACCATTCAATATAACAGGACTTTGTAATGGCAAAGTGATTTTTTGATCTGGGCCTGCATTTGCAATAGGTGGAGTGTTACTTTCAGGTTTAACAAATAAATGCACTTCAGTAGTAGATGTTTGATCAGCAGTATCTGTAACTTTCAAGATAAATTTATACACTCCTACTTCAAGCTGAGAAAGATGTAAATATGGTCCATTCGTACCCTATAAATGGGGGGAAAAAAAAGAAAAGCATTCCCTCTACTGAACACAAAATGAAATACTTTAAACTATATTTTCTGTACATTTTATTAAACCTGGTGCATCTAAATTATCAAGAAAAAAGTTCATGCCTTTATCAGAATAACTTAGCAAAAAATATCACATGTAAAGTATATTTGCAAACACAACTTTGTAAGTGGAGTGATAAATTTTCAGTATGTTCTAAAATATACTGCTGTGGTCTAGTTCATTCTAAGGCTGGTTCGGGCTTGGCAGGGACCGTACTGGTACTGTTGTGTCCGTTCCTTCAGCTGTTAGGGAGCTAGATCAGAGATCACCAACCTAGTCATCAGGGGTTTGGCCCCCTCAGTTCCAGTGATGGGAACTGAAACAGCGGACAAGGCACCAAGTCGAATATAATCGAAGCCGATAGAGTGGTGCCCGCAGGCAAAGATGTGATAGCATTCTTATCTTTATTTTTTGCAAGCATTTAACAATTTTCCAGATACCCAGGAAAAGACATAATTAAAATATATATTATACAATTCCAAAAAACTTGAACAATTTTTATATAAAACTTTTATAAGTTAAATGTGTAATCTATCCAGCCTGGATGGATTTAGCAGGTCAAATCAATGCAGGGAGCTCCCCTGTATGCATTTGATGACCAGCTGTTTTAATCTCATTCGACATAAAATTTTCCTCATTTTCATCACATTCACTTTCAATAACTGGGGGTAAAATTAGAATCCTGAGCAGTGTCCACATTTAAAATCCTTTTTCTTATTTTTTTTTAAACTCTTGTTTATTCTGCAAGTTAATTCTACCTTAAATTTTACAATCAATGCATCTACTTCTTGTTTAATCAGTATATGCTGTAATTTTTTCACATACTTCATCATTAAATCTTTCATTGCTTCAAGTAATATTCCTTGTTAAAGTAGAATATTCCTCTAATTCAATTGTTATACAATTTGTTTCTAAACCCAAGTATCTGTGGTCGCTGAGATACTCTTGCTCTAATATTTCCAAGTTATGCTCATTATAGTTCAAGTTGGAGGGTCCTATAACTAAATTCGTATGTCCCACTCCGATTGGAGAGTAGATGGTTAAAATCAATAGTAAAAATAAAACAATGTTAAAATCATTAAAAAGTAAAATGTTGTTGTATAAATTAAAACCATACATTAATATGCCCCCTGGCATCAACCACATCTGCTCGATTTGTCCTGATCCAGTCCCAATTTGTATGGACAGGGGTGCCCTTAATACAATATGGTTCTTGTATAAGAATTATGTCAGGCATACATACTAGTACTTAAGCTAATCCAGAAAATAGCTGTATCAGGACTAGTGTTCTTTCTTATTGCCTCGGGAAACATCTAATGAGCTGAATGGGAACAGGGAGCTTACTCAAGCTATGTTCTTGTATGTGTGGAATGGACAACACAAGTAAGATGGGTTAACTTTACCTTTTATTCTCCATGATATTACAGGTGCTCCCACACTTTGGGATACAAAGACCAACCACTTGTGGTCTGAACGTAAAAATATAAGAACTAGTAAGTAACTAAACTGAAATAAGAACTAACTTTGAATACTTTACACAGATGACTAACACTAAGGTTGGACTTTCAGATTATGAAGTACGTAGAATGCAAACTGCGAAAAACTACAATACATCTTAGATAACAAGAGGACTAAACCTCTGGCCTTAAAGGTGGACAGAAATTGATTGAAAGCTTGCATGGACTACAGTGGCAAGTAGGCTCACTCCATCTAACTCTACTCTTGGCAAAAAGCCACAACTTAAATACTTAAGTGTTAGTAAGCACAATTTGCATAAACAGATTAACGCATTTACTCTGGTCAGAAGTGGAAAATAAGAGAGGACAGTAATGTTTTAAAACAAAATAAATGTTAGTCAAACTTAAGATTCTTAGAGCTGGACTGTGATGCCTTCACAATGGTTAAGATTTATATTTAAAATAATCATTAAAATCCATAAAAGTCTAATCATATATAAAAAGCATTAAAATTCTCAAAACTAAAATGAATATAATCATACAAACCTTTTAGTTAACAAATCATTGCGTGTATAATATCTGTATGTCTGAAAAAAAAAAAAAAAAAAAAAAAAAAAAAAAAACAGAAAGCCTCATCTTCAAATAAAAGTGCTACTTAGTCAGCCTACAAAAGACCATAAATAGACATGGTGAAATTAAATTAAGAGAAAGAGAAATTGCTATTTTAGGAATGCATGAAAAGAACTGAAATGAAGGAAAAAACTACTGCTTCTAGATAAAATGCAAATCTTGTATACGCCAAATACGTAGTGAGCTACACGCTTGTGCGTAGGCGGAGCAAGCAGAAACAACCAGCTTTTACAAGCGTGATGGAGGGTGTAGATGACTTGACATCACTAAGCGCCACCCCCTCTTCCACCCGATTTCTTGGTGTACTCGCAGCAATCAGCTAAATTCACATAGGAACAGTAATAAAAATGTAAAAGATGAGGAAACCACCAAATGTTAGTGATGAAATGAGGGGCAAATTGTGGGGGTGGACTATGAAGGGCAGGACCAATCTTTTTCTTGCAGTCCGATATGCAGAGAGACCAGAGAGTTTAATTTAGAACACCAGCGTTGTGTGTGTATGAAACGTACGAGACACAGTTCCCAGGTACAGGATATATCCAAGAGGGGAAGAAAGCATAGGCAGTCATCCAGGATTCCAGATGTCAGAAAAGATCGCATTTGTCCATTTTAGTGAGCGGTTAACAGAGGGAGGCAACAGCGTTATCTATCTCAGAGTGCATGTATGCAGACACAGGAATCCAAGAATAACCAGGGCTGGACTGGTTCCACAACGACATGAGGAGAGAGGAGGGTCTTTTGCACCATTAAACCGATGTTTGCGTCCCACTCGGAAACCGACGGGAGCGTACGATTGATGGTGCAGGCAGCTAGTGGATGGAGTACGAGCAATGGACGATGTCCTGTGCACCAACGAGTCCCGTTTTAGCCTTAAAACGATTCTTACATACGGTCAATATGGAGAGAGAGACAGGGACCCCGCTAAACTACACTCCACTGTCGCGATCCGAAATCAACAATTATGAGGGTGGCAGTGTAACTGTTCTGGACAGCATCATGTTGGATTGGCCGCACACACTCTCACGTCTTTGACAGATGCTTCTGTGAATGGTGTGAGGATATTCTGGATACGGTCTAGTGAGCCTAGACCTTTCCTTTCCGGATTGCAGTGGGCCCCAAGGTCATTTACAGAGCATAAGACAAGGTCAACATTACAGCGCTTCTGGTGACGAATTTTCGAGAGTCAGGATATTACCGGATGGATTGGCCTGCACAGCGTCTTCAAAACTCAACCTAAGAGGTTTGTCGGGAATCTGCGGAAGGCTCTACTGGGGATGGGCAAATTCAAATGCAAAACTCTTTCGAGAACCCTCCAGGAACTGAAAATAGCATTGCTAGAATAAATGAGACCAATTCCACAGGCACTGATAAACGCCTTATTCCCTATGAAATCACGCTGTGAGGCCTGTATGAGCTGTTTGTAAGAGGGAACTATTCCCACTATTAACCCCTTTCTTTGTGTCGTTTCTACAACCAATGTTGTCGACTTCCGTTTTCCCAGAGTGTACAAGTGAACATGTGTGTCTATTTTTTATAACTGTGAAGGTCCTTTGTTTGTATTATATCAACCTATGTTCACACCAAATTTTATTAAAATCTGTCCAATAGTTCTGAAAATGGTAGATCAAATATGCAATGAATTCTCTTAATTTATTTCACCAGTGTAGAAAGCCTACTTAAAAAAGTGGGGAAAAATAACATCAAAAACAAGATGTCCTGGTTCTAATACCATAACAGAATTACTTTAAGCTTGAAAATGTTCAAATATCTAAGTGGTCTTTAATACATTGAATCTCATTGTGTAAGACATTGCAGTTTTGAGATAGTGCTTCATGGTCATCTTTATAATTCAAGATGTATTTCAGATTTACCTCTTAGAATTTACACAGCAATGCCTCTCTGCATTCTTCCTTTCATGTTGTAGCAAGCACACTCCAGATACGATTTCATTTTTATAGAATTTCTTTATATGGTCAAATCTTAGGCAGTTAATACAGTGTTTCAGATTTATATATAATTTTGCCGAGCATGATTTCCAACCAAATGGAATACGTTATTTTTCAATAATCTCACACTGGCATTTTCGTGAAACTTAGGATTACTCGATGTGGCACCACATGCTTGCTAGCCATTATTCTAAATAATGGGTGTACTCACGTCCCATCACATAAGCAATAAATTTTTAGTTTGCATATTAACTACTCATCAGGGAGGCTATCACTAACACTATAGATTACTATTTGAGGTCTTATAGTACGTCTCCTTTTTGGTCTTACCACAGTGTTATATTTTCCTCTTGTCAAATGTCTTTTTCAAGTATTCCAACTTCTTTGTTCCCTAGTTCCATAATGAAAGTTCCATTTTTTTAAAAATATGCATTATGAATGTTGATTCCCAGTTTTTCAGATTTAAGTTATTTTCTGATATACATCAATTTCTTCACTGACAGGCTTTAAAATAGTATTGTTATTTTTTATCTTATTCTCTCGTTCTCCTTCATATTTACAACATTTTTTTCTCTATATTTGATTATATTTTTCCTTTTGTCACTTTGCCAATCAAATTTTACAGTTTATCTTCTTAAAATTAACCATTTCCAATTCTGTAATCCTTAAATGGTCTTATTTGCCCAATCCATAATTTAACTTAATCCTTTGTAGAGCATTTCTGTATAGAATAGATGTATCTCCATCTATTTTATCATTTTCAAAGATGATTTTATTCTCGATGAGAGATTATGTTGCTCCTTGACATATGGAAACAACAATTCTTGTTAAATTAAAATCAACAAAACAATGTTAAATTAAAATGGAAGAATAAAAATCAATTTTAATACAAAAATCAAATCTACAGTAGTTATTCATTCAATAAATAGCAATAAAACACACAGAATTCCAATAACACAATCATAAAACCAAAAATGAGTTCTAACGTTAAATCAAAGAAACTGGCCAACAGGCACAAAAAACAATATTTTGAGGTGGATTAAAATTCTTCAGCTGAAAGTTCAAGTGCAGAACATTGTCTGCCACATTAGGTTTTGTAAAATGACTCATAAAATGAAAAATTTGCATTGAAACATCGTACAAACGCACTGTAATGATATGAAGCACTAAAGCATGGCCTATAAAAGGCAGTTGAAGCCCTCAAGAAGCCCTAAAATTAAGATTGCTAAAGGCTTAAACACAGAATTAATTTTAAAATGCAGTTTTTTTATTTTAAATATTCGCTAAAATGCACAAAACACCATCACTCATAATAGTAAATATGTTCAACATTACTTCAGAATTGCATAAATTATTTTAAATATTCACTAAAATGCTCACCACCACCACTCAAAATAGCAAATATGTATCACATTACTTCAGATTACATAAAAATTATAACATAAAAATAGATATTTATCAAAAAATTTTTAAAAAAATTAAGAGACCAAACTTAAACCAGCACAGGCTCATGCAAGCACAGAATGCCGGCAAATAGCATGAATCTTTTTTGTGTAACCAGATCATTATAGCACTTCAGCATGTATGTGTGAGTAGCACAGTTTTTATGCAAGGCGGCACTCCTCCGCATATTGCAAGACAAAACATGAAAAAAACTGCTGAACAAACATTTTAGAAATAACAGAATTATTAGCCATTATTTTCCAACAGCTTGGCTGCCATGATCACCTGACTTTAATCCTTGTGATTTCTAGTTAGGACTGCGATTACTTGAAATATGTTGTATACGGTGGGGCAATTGTGAACTTTGCTGAACTGAAGACACACATAATGCACTACATTCACAACATCAGCATAGATACATTCCAATCTGTCATGGAATATGCTGTTTTGCAGTTTCAAATTACGGCAGAAAATGATAGACAGCATACTGAATATTTTAAAGCAATTCCAGGGACAATTAAAAACTTGATTTTTTTTTTTAAGAAGTAAAATTTTGATGTATTTTTCTTTTGCCAAATTACCACTGCTTCACATATATCTAGATCAAATTTCAGGTCATTCTGAGCAGTGTTTTGAAAACGAAACTTAAATTATAATAATCATGTACTTCTGGGAAGACCAGATCTTCATCCAGTTTTACTTCACTTTGGTTTAGTTATGTTCTACTCTGCTTGGAAAATGGCAAAATACACATTCTATCATTGCTGGTTCTATTATTTAGGCCAATGGTATCAAACTGATGTTGTGTGGGCTGCATGTGGCTCCTGAATATACTTCACTATGTAATACTTGTAAATATGGTGCTTATAAAGACAAAAAGTTACAGACTAAGTTATGTGTATGACTGATATTCAAGTAAAAAAAAAAGAGAGAGAACGAATAGTTTGGGGCTTCTTCACTGCATGCTTGTAAGCTAGACTACAAGACTAGGGTAAGGTTTTTCCCAAGTTGTTACAATCAATAAATTGAGTTTGCCTGAAATATATGTTAGTCTAAAATTTAACATTCAGCTGCCAATAGATTTGAATAACAAAAGAAATTTCTAGCAGGTACCAACTTTTTAACTTCAATAGGAAAGAAAAAAAACATTAATTTGAATTTTTCCTTTGAATTATTATTGTTTATAAATGTACTCAAAAATTAAGTTAATCTTTCCGTTTGCTAAAAATGTCCCCCCCCCGTCATATTAGCTGCTTTTCAGATGAGGCATTCAGCCCACATGAAATTTGACATGGGAGAAAACATCGCAGCTCTAAGACATTGTGGTACAAAACATCGTCGTCGAAAATAAAGAGTTCAAACATACTTCGCAATTTAAAAACATCGGGTCGAAAATATCGTGTGTAAAAAATGTAAAGATCTACAAATATCGCATGACAAGTGTAAAATCGCAGACATGCTTTTTTCAGGCTTTAATAACACGTGTAAAAACAATTGGAGATTCCATATGATTGTTAAGCGCAAGTGCTGTAAGGAAGGATAATTTTTCTTTCACATTTTTTTATTAACTCATAAATTTTGCTGAAAAAATAAAGAAGGAAAACTTAAGCATAGAAAATTAACATGAACTTGATAGATTAATACATTTTATGAATAAATTACCTGGAAAAAAACAAAGAAACTTTATAAACAAAATGATGTTATTAATGGTCTTTGGGCAGTAACGAGTGTCGAGTGATGTTTTAGCAATTCTATAAGTGCATAAGTTCTGCAGATTATTTTCTATGCTTAAGTTTCCGTATTATTTTCTCAGCAAAAAATTTAAGATTTAATAAAAAATATGAAGTAAATATGGATCTTCTTTACACTCTTCGCTGGCGCGGACAAAAATTATAGGAAATATCAATTTACAGTTATAAAGCCTGAAAAAGATGTCCTGCGATGTGAATCGTCATGCGATGATTTGTAGATAATTTATTGTTACCATCGATTTTTCAGACGGCATGTTTTAGAATTGAACTGCGAAGTTTTTGAACCGCTTTATTTTCAACGACGATGTTTTGTACCGTGATGTTTTAGAACTGCGATGTTTTCTCTTTGTGATGTTTTCTCCGATGTTTTCACTTTGCATTGTTTTCTCTGTGACGTTTTCGTCCGCGATGTTATCGGCGGACTTCGTGCAGAATTCCACAGCACTCAGTTTTTGACCACACAATAGAAGTGAATTGGCACTACAGTTAAGATTCCATACAAAAAAAATATGCACATAAACAAAAGTTTCATGAAGATAAAAATAGCTGCAACCTATTAATTTCAAATACAAAATATATAACTATACCAGCCACATTAGACATAAGAATTTTTTAAATGAAAAGTGAACTAAAAGCAATAAAAGTTACCTCCATGTCTACAGCTTTATCTGTATCTGGGCTTTTCTTCCATTCCCAGCTTTTAATGCCTTTGTCATCGGTGCTCAAATTACCATTTAATGTTACTTCATTCTGAGGTAGATAGATTACAACCTCTGATTTGGCATTAGCAGTAGGTGGATAATCAGTTTCTAAAATAAAACAAAACATATAAAATATTCTGTAAGCATATACATGCATGATGGGGTAAATTAAAATATTAATATATGTCAATGATGTAAAGTAAGAAATTTAGAACCAAATTTACTAACACATGAAAGAAATGAAATTCAATACCAGTAAAATTCAAAATTCCCAATAAATATGTAAAAAATATCAACCAATTGTCACTAAACCAGAATTCCCGAAAGCTCGACATGTATATCTGTATTTTTACACATTTATTGAGAATTTTGGATTTTACTGGTATTCAATTTTTTGTGGATTCCGACACCCAACTTTCAATGAATAACAGAAAAAGGGTTCGTTATGCTAAAAGTGGCGATCATGACAAAGTGATGATTGAATGGGTCGACAGCTTCACAGCGAGGGTGTGCCATTGACGGGTCCAATGCTGATGTGTCAAGCAAATATCTCTGAGAGAAATGAGAAAAGAAAGATTAAACACTGAAGTGCAAACACAAGATTGGTTAACCAACATACGAAATTCAAAATTAGGGAAAAAGCTTCAGTGAAAAAGTTGCACTGAACAAGTTGCAGCTGAAATTCATTGAACTCATTGATAGTGTAAATTACTCCAGCACAAATATACAACGCTGATGAAACTGGTCTTTTCTCACAATATGTACCGAAATACGGGGTAAATTGAAAATAAGTTTCCCCTGTCGACTGTGGTCACAGTTGTGTATGAAAGCATAAAAAGAATGAGACATTAAAGATATGACATACCTTTATTTTCCACATAGGTACCAAGTACATTGAGACATTTGTCATATCGCTTGATAAGCTTCAAAAAGCCTCCAGGAAAAAATCAGGGCTTTGCATATGGAAGAGCGTGAACGCCTTGTTTCACTTCAGTTGCTTCCAAAGCGCCTCCCCCGATATTTTTTTCAAAGCCGGAAACAGATGGAAGTCGCTTGTGGAGATCAGGACTGTATGGCGGATGGTGTAGGAGCTCCCAACCACGAGTTGCAATATGTTTGCGTTGCCGTTGCCGAATGTGTCGGTCTTGTTACCAACAGCAGAACGCCAGATTGAGAGGCCGGTCCGCTTTTTCCGAATCGCCTCTTTCAATTTCGACATTAGCGCGTAGCATTGATGGTTCCAGCTCCAAAAGTCCCAACAAAACTCCTTGGGCATCCCAGAAAACTGTGGAGGAGCACTTTACCTGCAGATTCTCGGACTTCTTTCGGACAGGTGATGCCAAGGGATTGTTTCCACTCCATAGATGCAGCCTTGATTCTGGCATGAAATGGTGACCCACTTCATCCCCCGTCACAATCTGAAACAGAAAGTCATGCCATCTTCATGTAACGCACGAGATTTCCGGCTGACCCATCGTTGTCCGTGTGTGTCGAGGTCAATTGTCGGGACACCCATCGTGCTGCACTTTCTGTATCGAAAATGTCGTGGATGATGTTTTGAGCTGCTCATATGAGATTCCCAAGTTCTGCTACTTCTCGATGGTGATACGCCGGTTCGCTCTAATCATGTCATCCACCTTCCTGACATTTGCATCTGTAGTGGCCGTGTGCATCCGTCCAGCTCTCGGTATGTCCTCCACTTGCTGAGCCATCAACTGAATGTGCGACACCATCTCCGCACCATTTGCTTCGACATCACACCTGGCCCATAGACTTCCACGAGGCGGTTTGAATTTCTGTTCTGATACTCCACGTGCCCATTCATAGCGGATAAACCGCTCTCATTCCTCCTTGACCCTAATCAACATTCTCTCCATACCTACCGGGGATCAAATGAGAGGCTGGTCTCCGCTTTGCGCAGGCACTGCCAACAGTGCCATCTGCTTGATTTGCAGCGACCTCTACCCAATGGTTGTATCGGTGACTTGCGCGTTTTCCTGCTGTGTGTCGCCTTTCGCCCATAGCCGTTCAACGCTTCTTCCATATGCAAAGCATGAATTTTCTTGGAGGACTTTTTGAATCTTATCAAGCGATATGACAAATGTCTCAACGTACTCATACGAGAATAAGAAAATAAAGGTATGTCATATCTTTAATGTTGCATTCTATTTTTTGACTTTCATACACAACTCTGACCACAGTCGACAGGGGAAACTTATTTTTCAACTTACCTACGTACCTTGGCAACCTCTACAGAAAAGGCTCCAAATGGTGTCAAAGATTCCAAAGCGAGACTAACAATTTTAGTGTGCGCAAATGCTGCACTAGTGCAAACTTTTCGGAATCGGAAAACATGCACGACCTTGAGCATTTAAAGGAGTAACGATTTTCCTCGTTATATATCATGCAAATAAAAGAGCATGGATGCCACAAGTGTTAATGAATGATTAGTTTGAAAATCATTTCATACCCAAGCCTTGAATACTTTTGAATTGGGTTGGTTTACCTGATGACTCAAAAATAGTCCTGATTGTTGACAACTGTTCGGCGCATACTTCACTTAAAGTTTTAGTGAAAGATAATGTATCCGTATTATTCTTCCTTCCAAATTGTACTTCTTTCATTCAGCCTATGGATATGGGAATAGCACACTTGCTGAAATGCAAATATAAAGTAGCATTTTTCAAATTTATGTTAAATTTCTTGAATAACGACAAGACTATTTAAGACTTTTTAAAATGTTTTAGTATAAAATCTGCCATGTGGAGCATGGCAAGATCGTTCGAGGATGTCTCCAGATATGTTAAAAAATGTTGGCATAATTTATGGCCAGTTACCATATTTCATGGTGAGGACGATGAAGATGATAGCCACGAATTTGAAGCTTTTCGGACATCGCAAACTAAAGGTGAAATTTTGCAGTTATTGGATTTTCTAAAGAAATGTGGAGAAGCGGTAATAAATGAAGATGATATAACAGAAGTTTTTTATTGTGACGACAATGCCCCAATCATCAATCAACGAACAGCGAAATCTGCAGTATGGTTCTAGATCCAGAAAATACTGCTTCCGATAGTGAAGGAAGTGACAGAGAGGTTATTGAAAATGAAAAAACGTTGATTGACAAGTTAGTCGGTATTCTTGACACAGCAATTACAGGACTTGAACAGTCGAACCTCGTAACTGAACAAGAAATTATGTCTGCTTATAGAATTAAAGAGAAAGTATTAGCACAAAAAACGAAGCAACTTAAACAACTTACATTCAAAGAAATGTTTAATAAAGTAAACAAATAAATATTAAGCTTTTTTTTTTTTTTTTTTTTTTTTTGTAAATTTTGATACCCTTTGGATCATAATTGCTCTTTATTTAATAAATTACAGTTTCATATTTTTATTTGTATAATTTCTGCATGCCATCTTACCAGATTTAAATTGATGATCTACAATACAGAAAAAACCCTAATCTGGAATCGCCGAAGTCCTGACGAGTCCGGATTATGGACTTTATACTGTATTAGTAAAAGTGAGCAAATAGACAATCAATGAATTTAACAATTTTCTAAGCAAAGCTGCCACAGTACACTACTTATGCTAGTAAATCTAGTAAAATCTATTTTATTTATTCTATTTCTACTAGTAAATTCTTCTTCAGTTTAGCTACTTGGATCAACTGTAACTGCACTACTTTGAAGTGCAAAAAAATTATAAATGTATAGTCACATGTTAGATGAAAATGAAATCATTAAAGAAAAATAAGTACATGCCACAAAACTATAATTTTATAAAAGAAAGGAATATGTGAAAAACATTTCTTGTACAAATATGAATTACATTTGAATAACATGAAATCGCACACATTATTAAATACTGTGGTGGCACAGTAACGAATTAACAGTAATACTATAAGTGTAAATAAAGTAAATGAAACAAAATCAGTTAACTTCTTGTAAAACAATGTACACCTGTAACCACTGACAACAGAGTTTTTTTTAAGGAAAAATAAATCCTATTTTGTATGTTTGAGAATTAAACATCATTCAAAAAATTGCAAGGCTAATCTAACATGTATAACTTAACATAATATCTAACATGTATAACAACATTGGACTATATTATATCCTGAACTGTCTAATGTAAATAAGAAGATTAATGCAGATATTCATAATGTTGATGAAGATGTAACATTTTCTAATTAAAGTCAAAGAATTCTTCCGCAAACTCTGCTAGCGTCTATTGATTGATTGAGTGAGTGAGAGGTTATTGGCGCCAAACCAAAGATGATTAAAATGCGCCAAACACAGGATGGGATGATTACAATTGATGAAATTAAAATACAATAAATAAAACAGGTGGACAAATGTAATAAATCCAGAGGTTGAAGTCATATAAAAACAAGGTAAAAGCACACGTTAAAATACAAGACACAATCTTCAAAACAAATTACATTAGGTGATAAAAGCCAGTCTCTTTTAAATAATAAAATAAATTACAATTGACCTCTCTTCCGATTAAACGGGTGAGAGGCAATTCACAGCTATTAAAATATTTCTGATGAAGACTATTAAAACATGGACACTCTATTAAAACATGACGTACAGATACACAAACATTACAATTTTAAAAAATAGGCTCATTTTCAGCTTTCAGAAGATAGTTATGTGTCACTCTAATGTGACCAATTCTGAGGTGTGTCCAAAGAACTTCCTCCTTACGATTTCCAGCAAAATCCCAATGCTCAATTCTATGCTTTAGATTTCACAACTTGTTGTGAAGCTGAACGTCTCAAATTTGCTGCCAATTTTTTTTTTTTATCTTCCCCCTGATGACACAGCAGATGTCTCTAAAAGGGATAAAGCGACTGGACAGTTCAACAGCAGATTTTGCTGTGATATCTGCAAGATTGTTCACCTTTATTCCCGCATGCCTGGGAACCCAGCAGTACAGGATTGCATATCCTCGAATCATTAAGTTTATATGAATTTTGAGAACATCCACTACCACAGGATTCTGAGTGTTGGGAAAAGCTTCCAACGATTAAGAGCACTATACGAGTCTGTATAAACTATGAACTTTTTGTGGCAGAGCTTTGAGATGTACAAAAGACCA